TCTAAGTTTCTTAAAACCTGCAGAGTTCATATACAAGTGTAGAAGTAGACTACTCGGGCTTCTGCTTCAATCTTATAGTGGTTCTGAACTGGCAGCCCAGTAATTCACTTGAACTGTGCATCAAGTGCAGGTGTTGTGAACATGTCTTTAAAAATGTGATCAGTATTTTTCTTGAATGTAAGACTGCTGTTGATGTACCAAAGTATTTAAAATCATTAACTAGCCCATTAATCATTATTGGCTTACTTACTGATATTTATTTCTATGGTGCTTGTAAAACACCAGTTCTGTAGAGTTAACATGACTAAAATATAGAGTCTGTTAATGTTAATGTAAAATAAGAACCCGTACTGCTGTAAGGTGAATGTAGACTACATGTAGTATGGAGGATGACTGGGTTCACCTTAGGACTGTCCTCTAATAAGAGACTGGAGTATTATTATTAACACATTGTTGAGTATGAATAATGTCACCGTTACAAATCCAGATATTATCTAAAAAGATCGACTTCTTCAAATAGTTGGTGGAACACTTTTGAAATAGTTTACTATGCTACGTCTATTTGTCGGTGACCACTGTCGTTTGTTTAAAATGTTCAATATGAAACAAGATCGATGGATTAGTTTCGCTTTCGCACTATGTACTATTACTCTAAGAGCATTTATAAACGTTCTAGTAAATCTTACTTGCAGATGCAGCCGCGTGGCCGAAGAACAGCAGAAAAATACTCTTCATCATCTTGATTTAAGGAGAAATTAAAGTTTAATTTCATTTGAACTCCATGGCTGCCAGTGAATGAACTGAGCATGCGCAGTAGCTTCATTCTGAGCATTCAAACTTGGTTGTGGTGAAGAGTGAAACCGAGTTTCGTCAGAATGGATACATAAAGAAGACAAACAGAAACATTTTAACTTGTACGCAGGTATACAGAGTCTGCCCACTTATTTTTCACCTGGCATTGGTTATACCCACTTCTAAATCCCCTCTGATGTACATCATTCAGTAGTGTTCTGCAAGCTCATTTTTTATTGCAAAGGCCTGACATTTTCAAGAGTGGATGGAATAAGAAATACTTACTCAAATGTATAATCATGTAGTCGTCTCACCCTTTAGTCTGTTGGCCTGTACTGATGGTAAAATGTGCACCTCTTCTGTGTCTGATGTTCATTTTAATAATAATACTTACTGCCTGAAGTCCAGCAGCAGTAAGTTCAGTGACAATGTGCAAAAACTACTGGACCACTTATGAGTGAACTCAATATGCAAGAGTAGTCTTACATGTCACTGTTTATAAGACAGTTATCCTTTGCTGGACAGGCGGCTTTTTTTTTATTGGTGCATAAATCAGTATACTCACTTCTCCAGGCACTACACCGATGCCTATACGGATACATTTTACATTTGACTCAATGCAATGTACCAAACAGTTCAGACAGACAAGACAAGTTACATAAATTTCATGTTGCAACTTAGTCTGAACACACTTGTGCACTAGAACTACTAAAAACTGAATAAATGAAATTAAAAGAATTGATTAGTCAAGTAGTCACAGCTGAACAGCAGTTGTGGAAGAAGTACTCAGACACGTAACTTGTAAACTATGTAAAACTATTATATTACAAGTAAAAGTCCTACATTAAAAATCCTACTTTACTAAAAGTATTAAAAGTATTAAAAGTAATGTCCTAACAAAAGTAAACGTACTCACTATGTAACTGTAACTGATATTCAATATGTATGACCTCATAAGATTGTTGATACTCAGTGTGTAAGCAACATTTTAGCTGCTCAATGACAAATCAAAGTTTATTATAGCCTAATTTACCTAAGATATGTAGTTGGTTTATCTATTTCATCATATACAGTTTGGTAGTTTAATACAGTGGTTCTCAACCTGGGATCGGGGCTCCTCTAAAGGGTCACAAGTTAAAGATCAAGTGTTGTATAATATTATCTCATTGAGCCTTGAATAGTTAAAGTTGCCGTAAGTAACAAACACAATGCAAAACCTTCTGAATGTCTCTCTGCTGCTCATATAGCCCCACTAAACACACAGCAGAAGGAGCCCAAAGGGACAGTTTCAACAAACATTACAAAAAGTTATTTTCATAAAAGTTACCTACTGCCGCTTTAATGAACTCATCTGAGAAGTTTAGAGAGGAGGAACTGCCAACAATGCTTAGACATTTAAAACATGACAAAGTGTCACAACTTATACTATTTTGTAAGAGAATACACACCAAAAAGGTTCAACACTACTGTTTTAATCTTTAACAAAGTTTATTTATCTTATGCTTTTTTAAAATCTTAACCAGAAAAGTAACTTAAGCTGTCAAATTAATGCAGTGGAGTAATATATGTACCTCTAAAATGTAGTAGAAGTATATAAATGTGATAAAACTGTATATATGTATATATCAAGTATAGTACTTGAATAAACTTGAGTATTCTCACTGCATGACAGCCACAGGAAGCGGTTAGGACAGACACTGATGCTAGTCTGTGTAGGACTGCGGCAGAGCCAGATGTTGTTGAACATTTGGGGCTTAACCCAAACCTAGACTGGCCCAGGGGCTTTTTTCCTCTTTACAGCAACAATATGCACACTTTTTTAAGCCAGCTGAGATAATAGGATGCCTATTAATCTGTTCATCATCTAATTGTTCTCCAACTGTATTCATCATCCTGAAACTGTAACACAGCAAATGCTGACTAATTTTAACTCCTGCCATCTAAAAAGAGGCAAAAATGTACAAACACAAAAAGCCATTTGTTATGTTCACAGTCCATAAACTGGTTAGCTCGCTGCACTGTGCCACACCCTTCACTCTGAGAACACTTGTGTGCCGCCATTTTGTGTCTTCCTTTGTCGAGCCTCTCTCTGTCGGTCACTGCAGAGCAACGAGGGCGTCAATGTTTACTTCCTAACACACAGACCTTATTATTTTACCTAATGTAAAGTATATAAGACAGAATAATAAAAGAAGATACATGTTTTAAATTGGACTGTTTATTGTTTTGTAAATGCAGAAAAACACTCGAATTATCTGGACACTGAACCCTCCCAGAATGCAACTTGATTAACTCTTTTTGTGTCTCTGTCAGACCTTGCTGCTTTATTTCTGATATGATGTAACTGCAGCTATGGAGGGAGCGCCTCAACACAATAGTTTCCTTTTCAGGAGTCTTGTATGGTGTTGGAGCTCCTCCACTGGACAGAAACAGAACAGCCCTCTGGGAAACCACATGATGAGTCTGTTAGGTTTCATTTCTCTGTGTGACACAGAGATCTGGCATGATCTGCAAATTGTGTCACACACAGCAGGAAGAAGGAGGTTCCCTGCAAAGGCATCAATGCTTCTTGTCCTCCTTGTTTTGCCGGATTCCTCTGGGTGTTCAAGAAAATATTTTATTATAATAATTTTAATAATAATCAAAGATCATTAAAACTTCAATGATGTTAGACTGAAAGGTCATAAATAAAGTTCACTTGTCTTTAAACATATAGAAACTTCACGTAGGAGGAAAAATAACCCATTTAGTGAATATATTAAAAAGGAAATTAGTTGCATTAAGTGGTAGATAAAAACAAAGGTTGTATGTGTGATTAGTGGTTCGTGCAACACTTCATTGTTTCTGACCTCTCAGCCTGGATTATACTCCTGAAAGCAACCTCACCTGTTCTCTTGCTTCTCACTAATCTCCTTTTTCTGCATTAAATTCTGCAGCTGTGCACACTCTAACCTACTGCTTATGATACAATCTGCAGTCATTATTTGCTGATAAAGAGATTGAGGAAGCAAAGAAAGGACATAAAAATAGTCCAGACCAAGGTGGATTATTGCTTGTCAGAGGGCGCCATCTACCTGCAAACGTGGGGAACTTCTCTTTGTACAGTTATTTATTACTATTTCAATCAGCATTTGATTTCATCTTCTAGTAATCAGTTTTATTTTTAGATATAATTTTTCTTTTGGTGTCGCTCAATGTTGATTAAAGGTGGCTTTATTTTGAAATTATGAACTGAATTATTATCTTATCTCCTGTTTGAGTCCATATCCAATAATGTATTTATTTATGTGTTAGTATGTTTCAGTTCAGGTCTACTCACTGGTCTTGGCTCAAATCAGGTCAACTATCAGAACAGACAATATAATAAAACACAAGATAATTTCCATAAAACAATATTTGACCTCCAGCAGAAAGAGAGTCAGAGAGCTTGTTGAACACAAACATCAGATGAGGTCAGCTCTGTCCTTCAGGGTAAATGCCTCTGAGCTCATTTGGAGCTGTGGACGCTGAAAACTGCTTGAACAAGAGAAATGTAACACCGCCGTTGATGTTTGAACACCTGATGCTGTATTTCATTTTGCTCTCGCTTTGGCGTCGTTTATTCTCTGTTTCAATCCTCATTTATTGTTTCTGAAGCACTTTATAAAAGGTTGTAGAAACTTTTTGTTCTCAGTTCTTCCACTGAGGTAATTTTATTGATGTTTATTACACAAACAAAGCAACATGTGTCACATCTTTTATCTTGATCAATAATAGTTGTTTACTATAACACTGAGTTCACCTTTAGTGTGAAGCAGTGTGACAGCGCCCCTGTGGACAAACTATGTATCTGCCTTTAAACTGGATGTCACCTTCTGTTGGTGTCAGTTTGTAAAAACATCCTGATAATCAATGACTCACACACACAAACTAACATTAAACTTTAAACAAGCAGCTTTTGTGGAAACAAACTCCATCTAATCACTCAAACAGCTGCACAGATTGGAAATCATCTCATTACAGAGTTTATAACTTCTGTACAGGACACAGAGACACAGCAGCAACCCAATAACACTGTGTTAAAGAGGAACTCTTCTCATTTGTCCAATGTGTGTCTTTTGCAAAATTAAGAAAAACACTTACGATTCAGTTGATCGTCACAAGTTTATACACATACAAGCAAAGTATCTGGAAAACTGGGCAATAAATCATAAACTGATACATGTAAATGTGTTTGTATATTTTATTTTTTCAATAAGTCCAAATGAACTACACATCTAATTTTCAAGAGATTCCTGAGCACACAAGTATATAAAAACAAACAATTTTAAAATGTACAATATCAATCGTGAGAATTTAAAATAAAGCAATAATAGTAACAATGCAGAATAAATAATAAACGTAACAGTCGAAGGTAAAAATCATAATCACCAAATAAATTGCATTCATGACCAGTCACACCTAAAATCAATCAGGGATTTGATTTGATTTTGAATTGACCCATTGGATAAATTGCATTGCATATAGTAAGTAAGTGTGAAGGTACACTGCTATTCACCCCAATGTATGATACAAGGAATCTAAAATCCATCTTTCCCAGTTCAGTTCACCATTAAGTGATGTCAAATATAGGGGCAATGTTTGGAGCAGCCTTTATAAAGAAATAAGAATAAATGTTCTCTAACGCTGTTATCTTCTGATGGAGAGACCAACCCACTTCTTGATAAATACAGTGCAGAGTGCTGCAGACGTCTCCAGTTATAAATCAAAGGGCTGAATGTTCGACAGCATTTAAGGGGACAAGAGTGGATGTTGCTGCATGTAAATCACATAACTGAGTCTATATGTACATTTGCATTATGAACATTTACAGAATAAACTGTATTACACATCTTGCTACAACTGTCACCAAAGAGAAAGAAAGAAAAAGTCATCTTGAATTTGTTTAACACATTAATATGAAAAATGTGAAAAATATCTATGAACGTATCTCTATTTACATATTTACATACATTCAACATTCTCGTCACTCTTTGATTGACACAGTTCATCATTTACTCTGATTATGAACATCTTATACATTATGTGTCATCAAGGTTATACACTCATATGGATGGTGTGTAGTTTAAATAAGGCAAAGATCCACTGTGGATAGAAACATTGTGATTTGATGTTCAATATAGATTTAAATATAGTTTATGGTGTGGAGGATCTACTGCAGCCTTGTTTGAGCTGCATATGCCAATCTGTGTATCACTCAACACTGCTACAATATTTCTTTAACTGGAGTGAAGCAAACTTTTACCAGTAAACTCTAATTTAAAGTCTAATTATCTGCTGGTACAACTTGGATTGTTGTAAAATGTTAAACATAAATATTGATTAGTGCAGCTTTAAAGCTTCATTGCACTGCAACTTTTTTGCAACATGACTCCTAATGATATTCAATCCATTTTGGTGGTTTGGTGACCCTATTGTTTATGTTTGTGTAGTTTACAAATTGTGTCTTTACTTTAATAAAACATGTTTACTTCTCTTGCAAAACAGAAGCTCAGAAGTTCAATGTTGCAGATTTCTTATGGAGTGGAAATCACAGACCTCTTCAATCTGTCACTCGCTTTCACCTGGACAAATAAATAAGCATTCATAAATGAACATGAACATGATGAATCAATAATGAATAAAAACATAAACACTTTTGACATCTCAAAATGTGCCTCAATACAGGAGATATTTCAGAACCATTAGTTACCTTTGATCAATGGTGTCTCGCTGCCTTGACTTCCTGTTGAAGTCACTGATTCTGAAGAGAAAAAAATAAAAAATAGAAAAATAAGTAAGTAAAGGACAAAAATGGATATGATGATTTATGTACATAAAGATATAAGGCTGTGTGATATGACCGACATTTCTTATCCTGATAACAATATATTTCCTGATACAGCACATTTTCTGTAAATTGTTTTGTGTTGTATCTCTGCTTCTTCAACCCCTTCAGAGTGCATATTCTTCTCATAATGCATTATTACATATATATTTAATTATAAAATAACTAAGCCTTCTCTCCATATCCATCTTTTTCTATCCAGATATAAACTCTTTCCAGACATGGAATATATAACTAGCTGTTAAAGTGATGACTTTTTGTCATTATTATTTGTCATTTATTCCTGTTTTATTCAGATGCTAATCGTGACTGCTGGTCAATTTTTTCTTTTTGGTTGTAAGAGTTTTTTTAATTTCTTTCGTCCTATGATTTATTAGACTTAATTTGACAAGAATCTGCTCAACAACCTGGTGCTTTCAGGTGCTTTCACAGTGTTCATTTAACTTTAGTTCATTTAAATTTAGCATCAATCTAAGTATAACATTTTAAATACAATAAAATCACATTCTACTTACTTTGATGGCATTCAGCTGAAATAAAAAGAAAAGACATGATTTTATTTTTCAAGTTTATAAACTGGATCAAGAACATATATGATGACATTTCTAGAGGCTAAATAATATAACCATACTCAAATGTTGTTGAGGTTTTCTGTCTAATGAATTAAATACCTGACAAATTAAGATGTCATCATCACATCCTGTAAATTCAACTTTGTCATAAAGAGTTCCTGTTATTGATTTCCCCCACTAGCCTAATACAACCAGAGATATTGCTGTATAACCTCTAACAGTATACATTGTGTGATACCAGCCAACCTCAGGCTAGCACACATTACAGTTCTATTAATACATCCTAGATTTTGTCTGGACAAAGTTATTATTCATTATTCCCTTGACCATTGACTGATAAAAGTCTGTGATGGAAAATCAACATTTTACAAACCCAGTGTCTTTGATGAATTTAGGGAACTCATCAACATTAACACAGACTTTGTAAACTAGAGAGCAGGAGACATGGCTAGTAGTCACTAAACCATCAGAAGGCTCTGTGGCTCTGAGTCGTTCATCCTATACTGCTGGTTGCTTCACATTTCTGTAAATTCAGAAATAAACCTTGATCAAGTCTAAAATCTAAAACACAGAAAAACAAGTTATACTTACTATATTGAGGCACTTTTGCTGAAAAAAAGAAAAGAGATTTTTTCAGTTGTCAAAGCTACAAATACAAAGATACAGATTCCCTCCTCCCACTAACTGTTTAAAATTCCTTTCTTCCTACCTTTCTTTAGATTTTACTTCATCACATGATCAGTTCTCTCTTATATAACTATAGTACTGTCATATTATTGTTTCACACTGCCGGAAAAGCTTTAACTCAAACAGACTAAAATCAAAGAAGAATTGGAAAAGCTAGATTTGGAAATCATTGGTTCTCTTACCTTTCTTCCTCAGTTTATAAATGATGAATCCAACGACAGCAATGAGGACAAGAGCAAGAACAACCACTGCAGCAATGATGATGACAGTTATGTCGATGGGCTTCTCTGTTGAACATAAAAACAAAACAAACAAAAATCACAACCTGTGCAGAAGAAGCAGATGAGCTGAGCAGTAAATTACTTTTACTATTGTAAAATTGTCTGTAAAAATATACTTTCATTATCTGATTTCTGGTAACTGCAGATCATTTGAGATAAATTATACTACTACTACTATAATAAAGAAACAACAAGGCAAAACCAGCATTTTTCAAAATGCTCAAAACTAAAGTCTACTTGAGTTTAGTAAAGTATAATAACCATGAAATAAAATTATGTTTGGTTTGTTGCATTATTGACATTGTACTGTGTCATAAAGACGTTTTCTAAAGATATTTCTTGGGCTCAGTGATTGGAAGCTGAAGATAGACAGGAAAGGGGGAGAGAGAGGGAGACGACATTCAGCAAAACGCCACAGGTTGGAATCGAACCCAGGCCGCTGCTACAAGGACTACATTGTCCATGCGCTCTACCAGGAGAGCATGCATCCTGCATTTTTATATTGGTATTTTAAATCTTCATAAGGAGGTTCAGGTTCATACATTTTTCATCATTGGCAAAATCTAAAGCTCTAAAATTGCTAAACATATTAACTTCAATCTCATCTCACCACAGAGCTTCAAGTCCTGATGAAAATCAGCAGACAAGTAGAAATGTAAGTGGTATTAGATACAGTTAGAAAATATTACATATTATACAGTTGTTAATGACCTACAGTATCATCAGGGCAGTGCTATGACTATAAGAGGTGGTTATATGTCACAGAGATATTTTAAACAACAGAATATTAGATCCTACAGTAAATTAGGTTTTCCTGTTGGATGCAACAGTGGATTCAACTGCTCAGCGTCCTGAATAAAAAACATTTGGAAGCTGTTGGAATAAGATCATTTTTGAACTGTATAAGTTGCTGTCCTGTAAAATGTGAAAACACATGATAAAAACAAAAAGCAAATAGTATATCGTCAAAGTAAGATGATGAACAAACTGTTATTTTGCATTAAGTTTCTATATTTTATTTAAGTTAATTTTTGAATCACATTGAAATTCCAGATTCATTCAGAATAATGATTTCAGGTCAAATTAGAGTTTTTCCCCCCTGTGCAGAAAGGCAGACTGTGTGTATGTGACTCGTACAACAGGTCTGAACCATTGGTGAACTTCATTTGTATCTATAAGAGAAAATTCTAAATATGAGAAAATTTGTGTATGCCACATAAGAAACAAACAGTGATTCTTGTATGAGGTCTGTTATGTGGTGAAAATGGAGGTGGAAGGGAGTGAGCAGCAATCTGTAACTACTCTGCTAGATGCCACTTAATCTTACACACTGGTCCTTTAAGAAAATGTAATTAATGTTTTTGAGATGTCATCAGCTTAAACACACACAGACGTACACACATATATGTATGTGTAATTATATTTCTATAATTAACTGTGGAAAAAACACCATCTGATTACTACAGAATTTGTTTTTCTTATTGCTGGGTGTCTTGTAAAATCTGACCACAAACACATAGGATATTCCAGACTTTTCCAGATCCAGGAACTGGCAAAAATCAGTCATATTCATATAACTGTAGCTACAGTCACAAATGTGTATGAATATATGCAGAAACAAAAAAGGCACTTTATAGGACTTTATTGAAATCAAAAGTACAAAGGTAACAAAACAGTTGAACAATTTAATCTGAGATTAATCCACTCAATTCAACACAAAAAGTAATTTTGAGTATTTTCTATAATAGAAAATGTCCCTTGTCCCTAAATATTAGCAAGTATTTTCAAAAAGATTTCTATCAGTGCTGAGAAGCTTAAAACATCCCACAACCCTTTCAGCTAAAATTTAAATATAGTAGTTTCCAAACTAATTAAAACAGATATTATGAAAACAAAAACAATAACAATAACACACTCTTGTTTAATTCAGAAAAATCTCAAAAACATAAATTATATACTTTGGCCTGATTGGAATCAAAACAAAATCTTTAAATTTGATCACTTTTAAAGAAATATAACTATTTACACAACTGGAAACTAAGTTCTGTCCTGATTCTTATATTGTTTGTGTGTGTGTGTGTGTGTGTGTGTGTGTGTGTGTGTGTGTGTGTGTGTATGGGGATGGGCAACAATGATACAACCTATCAGTGTTTATGCAGTATTTGCATGTATTTCAAGATGTTGAACAGTTTCTGTAAATTAAACCATGTAGCAGTAACCAGATGGAAATATGTGTCCAATGAATTATTTACAAATCCAGATAATTCAAACCAGTGAAACAAAACTCCCTCCATCTATTTCCTGTCCCACTGATCCAGCTGAGAGTCACAGAGGACTGGAGTCGAGCCAGTGCACAGTGGGAGAGAGGTGAAGTAAAGTTTATCACCATTTTATTCTTACATTAACACCTACAGGCAATACAGAGTGTCTGATATAGGAAGCATAATTTTGGATGTTGCTGATTGATTTGCAGTTTTGCTTTCAATGATCTGTTACAGCCAGAGAACAAAATAATTATTTTCTTAATATATAAACTCTCTACTGGTTTAAAAAATCTCTGTTATCTCAAGGTATCAAATCACCAGAATCAGTATATATTTGAAAATGGGAATGCATGTACATGGATGTGTGTGTGCCTGTGTGTTTGTGTGTGTGTGTGTGTGTGTATTTACATTTCTATTATCGATATTGATTTTACCAGAAAACACCAACACCAGAAGTATAAAACTGTAACTACGGTGGATTTGTTTAAGATGAACACACAAATCTACGTATAGAAAGTGCTGTGATGCTTTCATTTTTTTTTAAATATTGTGTTTTACTTTTAACAAAATATGAATGAACCTCATTTGACTTACTAACATTTGATCATTTAATGTCACCATTTATGTTTGGTAATGTTTGTCAAATGTTTGTAAACTCATTTATCAAATTTGTGTTCTTTGTATTCCAATTAATAAGCATCTACTACTAGATTTCCAACCCTGATCAGTTTATTGTATGATGATGAACAACCAATGAATTCCCAGTTTACGGAGGAGAATGTGGAGGAACCGCTCCTCGTTCGAGTGCAAAATGTGTCCATAAACCTAAAGAAAAAAAAAAACATTACATAAAATAGAAAACAAAATAATTTCCTAAATGTTTGCGGAGATCATTTCCACAAACCAACAAATTTACAGAATCATTCAGACATTAGATAATTATTTACCGTCTGTGCAGTGTTTAATGTAACTTTAATAAACGTTTGTCACTGTTTTTTCTGAAGGTTAATATTTACACTTTGACCTGCTGATTTGAAGATTTCTGTAAGTATCCGTTACTTTTTCTTAATAATTTTAACTTTATTTTTTTGTTGTGGAAAATCAACTGAAAATCAAATATTTTCTTTACAAAGTGTCACAGAAGTTTTACAGTGAATAAATGTATTTTGCACTTTAAGTTAAAGCAGCTTTGTTTAACAGGTGTGAATAGTTCATGTCTGATAAGATATAACTTACTGTGTTCAGGGTGGTGGTTTTGTTGTTTAAGCATTTGGGTTCAGTTGCTCCATGACCTCAGGGTTGCTTATAGCTGTAAGGTCAGAAACACATTGTTATCCCACATTCTGCTCTGAACTGATGCTTTTATACTATATATATATATATATATTTGTAACAGATAATAGTGAAAAAAAAGTTCTTCCAGAAAAACCCTTTTTTATTCTACAGAGTTCATGTTAAGTCAGAGATAATACAATAACAAGTTGTACTTACGAGATGGAGGGCGTTTCTCTGAAATAGAAAGAAAAGACAAAATTATTTATTTTAATTCTTTCCACTGTTAAAACTGTTTCACTTCTGCAATCTGGATAAAAGCAACAATTCAAAGTTAAAATTAAAATATTGAAAAAATAGACACAGTTTCTGTTTTAGTCTCTCACCATTTTTCTTTTTATAGATGACGGCTCCAATCACAGCGATGAGGACGAGAGCGAGAACAACCACTGCAGCAATGATGATGACAGTCGTGTTATCAGGTTTCTCTGTTGAGCAGAAAACAACCAAAATAGTAAAAACCTGAACAGATGAAGCAGATTTGAGGAACCAGAGTCAGACACCAAATGTTAGTTTGTGCTGCTGTTACTTGTCTGGATTTAATTACTGTATCAATGCTTGTTTATCTGTATGTTGGTTTCTGTCCCATAATGTTGGTTTTTAGCACAATAACAACTTCTGACAATCATATTTAAATTCATTTTGACTGTCACCATATTTGGCCAATAAACTTTATTCTGACTGATTTACTGATAGATATATACATTTATTCAGTAATTAAATCATCCACTCATCTTCTAAAACTGATCAGTAGTTTAAATCAATACAGTGTTTATAATCTGTGAACTGTGGTTAAATGTTAAAAAGGTTACACATGGTCTGAAAAAGCTTAACTTACATACTATAAATAGTTAAAAAGTGAAATAAATTACAAATGTGGTAAAAACAACACCTTATTTCAAAATGCAAAATTAAACAAAACAAGTAATAAAATTGTGTTTTGTATGTTTCATTCTTCACATTTCTCTGTAACCACTTTAAAACTGAGTTAGTTTAACTATTTTTTTAAGGATTTGCTGATACTCTTGTTGTGTGCAATGGTTAATTCATTAGTTATAAAAAGTATTATGAAAAATAGATGAAAGAAACTGACAACAAAACAATATGAGGAAACCAAATTTCCCATCCAACACACATAAAAGTACATAAACATACAACAATAAATGTCTTACCTTCATTGGTCCTGATCACTGCTTTGTCCAGTTTGGTGACGATGTCGTTCTTCCCACCATAGAGCTGAAACACACAGTCGTACCTCCTCCAGTCTTCAGGTGTGACTGATGAAGGAAGCTTCAGGTCAACACTCATCTGGAAGGATCCATCGTGGTTGGGGAGGATCTCTCCGTGGTCCACGTCCTCATGAATCTCCTCTCCATCTTTCCTCCAGATGAGAGTGGCACTGTCAGGGTAGAAACCTGTAACGTGGCAGCTGACTGGAGAGGAGGGAGTCTTCTGGAGGAGAGACACTGAGGGAAGGTCTGCAGAAAGAAAGAGAAAGGAGAGAGAGAGAGAGAGAGAGAGAGAGAGAGAGAGAGAGAGAGAGAGATTATAGGTTCTTTATTAGTATTTACTGTATATTAATATTATAATTCCTGTTTCATGTAATTTATTTTAAATGTTTCAGTAACATACATTATATACATGAAGATAGGAAGGGAATGACAGAGGGAAACAAAGATAAAGAGAGGTGAGAGAGAATGAGAGAAAGAGAAATGTGTGTAAAGTGAGACAGGGTGAGTCTCTGTATGCTGGTGATATTTATTGTGATGTTACTGTTGGTTAGAAACTGAAGAGAAAGATGAAGATTGTTGTGTCCATTAAACTACATCAGGTCATGTGATTCTACCTGTTCTCAGCAGAGAGCTCCTCCCATAGTCCACATACTTCTTCAACCAGTCAATGCAAATCTGGGTGAGGTAGTTCTTGTCCTGTGCAATCCAAGCTTTGTCATGATCCCACTTGTTTTTGGTGATGACAGCCTGTGGTTTTGGAGCGATGTATGTCTCTGTCTTCAGGTCAAATACTATGAAGTCTTCTCCATCATAACCATACTGATCATTACCATTAACCTCTCCAGTCTCATCATCCCACTCACAGCCGTACATCTTCTGGAAAATGTGGACACCTGAGAGAGAGACAGACAGAAACAGTATTAAACCAGAGTGAGATCACAGCACAGTCTTCTATCATCAGTTGATATCACATCTTTACCACAGAGACACACTGATCCACAGACACCAACACAGAGGATCTACACCTCCTGCTGTTATTGGCTCGATGGAAGACACTCACAGACAATCATCATCTGGACAGTGTGGACGTCTTAGAGAGACACAGAGAAGCAAAGACTGCTGGGAAACAGAGTGACATCCTAACACAGTTCATATCCTCTTTGTTACCACAGAGACACACTGACTCCACTGAGACCAACAGTTTATCTCCCACACACACACACACACACACACACACACACACACACACACACACACACACACACACACACACACACACACAGATTAAACCTGATCCTGGACTGAACATTAACACCCACTGAGACCCTGCAGCCAGTGGACCAGTCCAACAATATCCTCTTCCTGTGAGAAACTACAGACTGTCCTGAAGCTGCTCTAGAAGCTTCCACTGAAGGACAGTTTCAGTCCAGGATGAGTTCCCAGACTCCAGCTGCTCAGCCAGGACAGTGAGTCCTGTTCAGCACTGTGTTACTACAACTGGTCAGAATAAGGCAGAGACCATCAGGACCATTATGGAGACTGGGAGGCAGTCTGTGTGTCCTGATTGGTCCATCCATCAGTCAATCAATCAATACGACCAACAGCTGTTTCCTCCTGCAGATGTTGTCTTGATGCTGCTGATGGGACGGACCAACACACTGTGGTCAGTACAGCAGAGTTCATCTAATCTAATCTGTTGTTCTACTGAATATTTACGGCTCAATTTAATCATTATTTTTATTATCAATTAGTTATTGATTAAATTAATTACATAAAATTGTGAAAAATGTCCATCACAAGTTCCCAGAGACTAAAGTTAAATCTTCAAATTGATACTTTTGTCCGACCAACACTGAACATTATTTAATTTGTAACGATATAAAACAGAGAAAATCAGCAAATTCTCTTATTTTAGAAACTGGAACTAGAAAATGTTTGTTTCAGTTTAATAAAATAATTCAATTATTATTCAATTATCAAAATTATTGTCAATGAATTCCCTTTAATCAACTAATCTATGAATTGATTAATGGTTTCAGCACTATATATGTTCATTATGACACAGACACACTGTGTTCATGTAGAGTTAATCTAACCTGTAGTTCTACTATATATATACTGTATATTATGGGATGGACACAGTGTGGTCGGTACAGTAGAGTCGTGCTGTTAAACTGTTTAAACCTCTGATCTGAATGAGACATTGACCATGTTGTCCTGTCAGCAGCTTTATTAAAACATACTGCTGCTCCTCTCATATGGGGACCCAGCAGAAGCAGCCTATGTCCCATTTACAGTCCGGCTCCGTAGTTTAAGAAACCAGGCAGTAATGTTCCTCTATCAGCTGTGTGCTGTCAAACTGTTGTGATGAACAGGTTCCTACAGTAGAGTTATTATGGAGCGACTCACTGTGGGCAGTTCAGTAGAGTTATTCTGATCTAATCTAGTGGAGATAAAGTGTTAATGATCTCTGCTGGTTATTATGGGATGGACACAAACACTGTATCAGTGCAGTAAAGCTGTTTCTGTTGAGTCTGACTGTTTCAGCCATCAGACAGTTTAATGTACGTCAATAAAACACACTGTGTGTGTGTGTGTGTGTATGTGTGTGTGTGTGAGTGTGTGAGTGAGTGAGTGAGTGTGTGAGTGTGTGTGTGTGTGTGTGTGTGTGTGTGTGTGTGTGAGTGTGTGAGTGAGTGTGAGTGTGTGTGTGTGTGTGTGTGTGTGTGTGTGTGAGAGAGAGTGTGTGAGTGTGTGAGTGAGTGTGAGTGTGTGTGGTAACATCAGCTCATTAAAATACAAGATAAAAATATAAACAACATGTTATCAGTAGAAAGTGAAACATAAACAAACCTCCAGTTTGGTTGAAGCGCTGCTTCGCTATTTCAATGTTGGCTTTGAAGGACTGCTGGGCACCCAGACAGGTCTGAGTCTCCCTCTCCCAGTACTGAGGATCCTCTGCTGTGACTCTGCTCATCCAGTCCTGTTTGGCTTCGTTTCTCATGGTGTTACTGTCACAGTGACTTATCTGAATATCATCAACCAACCCAACAGACACATACTCTGGGAAGTTTGGGACTCCAGAAGACGCAGTGTAGAAATACTTCAGAGAGTGAGTCACTGTAAGAAAACATTAATGTAACATTTCAGTTTTATAAATCACTGAACAATGTTATTGTCCTGCACACAGAATCAAAAAGAACTACAGTACATTCAAAACATCCTAATAATCTCTGTTGTGCAGTCAGTAAACACAAAAAT